ACCCCACCCCCCCCCCCCCCCCCCCCCCCCCCCCCTCTCAATACATGCCTCATACTCTCTGCAGTTGAGTAATTTAAAAAAAAATGCCCTCGGCCGCTCTGCGCGCCAAAAGCAGAGCATTAATTTCTGTTAACGTCAACAGCGCGGTGGCCCATGAGCCGTGGGGATGGGGGGAGCGGGGGTCGTTATTTAGCCATTAGCTTCGCCACAGTTCTGCTGAGTCGATCGCACTCAACAGACAGAAACCTACGCAGAAAAATACATTTGTACCTCACGCAAATACGAGACGAGATATAAACAAATGCGTCCGGAGTGGAAGCACCAGCCCATTGGCATACAAACACAGTCGTCCGTCCCCCCCGCCCGCCGCTTTATTTCCCCGTTTTTGCTTCTCTGCATTAAAAGTGACTCTTAATTGAACAGATGCAAGTTCTGCACCACTGTGCGTTTGACACAGTCCACCAACTGTGCTCCCTGATTCTACACAACAGCTGCTGATGATCTGAATGCGCACGGATGATCAAGGGAACTCATTGGCTCTTCGGTAAAACGTAGCTTGAGAGGTTTGCGGCGCACAATTGTACCATTCCAAACCTAATTTATGCCTTATTAAAGTCGATTACAACTATTTCATTCGACTACTGTTCACAAATGAGTCTTGAGAGTCAACGTAATGGAAAGCAAATTCACGACATGAAGAAACTACCAGCAGGTTCAACGACAATGCGCTCTTAAAAATACACTAATGTGCACAAGCTAGTATCTACGATTAACATGAGAGGCAATCCACTGTAGTAACCGCTGTCCCTTAAAGGGTTAAATGCCACATATTGGCAAAAATGACTCATCCAATTCAGCCACAGGCTGGCATTTTAGCATGAAATAAATGGAGTATCGTAGTAAATTGTACTTTTTTTTAAAAATAATTATTTTATCGGCGCATCCCACTGGACCTTGAGCTTGAAGTAAATTGATTGAATAGAAGAGCACCTAACGCTGGGAGTTTCAATCCCACATTGTAGCAGAGCAACTCATGCAAATTAGCCCACCGTCTCTAGAATAAGCTATCCCACAGCGGCGCTTTGGGAAATTTGAGTTTGGAAACAAATGAGGGGATTGAATAGCATAGCGGCTAACCCGAATTTGACTGCCGGCTCGTATTTTTCACATCCGGTCAAATCATTGGGAAGTTTCAATCTAACTTTTTTTGCATAATAACAACCACAAATTAGTCCACCGGCTCCCATTTTATCCAGCAGTTTCGCACAGATGATTTCAAAGCAACTTTTTAGTGTTGTGGCAATTTTTAGATTTTTATTTGGACTCTTGTCTTGATTTCATTACATGAAATATCACTTTTTCTATCCTCACCGCACTGGCGCACTTTGCATTTGTCTCTTCAGCCGAAAGCAGTACAATTCATTCTAGGATGATCTGGTTTTACGTTTTCACCACGGCGAAGCTCTTGCGTGTGTGTGTGTGTGTGTGTGTGTGTGTGTCCCTCTACTGCGTGTGCATTATTGCGGCCTCCCTCTTGCTGTGAGCGTTTCTGTCTAACAGCACTTTTTCCCTCTTTTGCCTTTTGTGGTCCTGCTCGCCCTCGCTGCCCACACCGTTGTATTCCTCTCGTCGTCGTCGTCGTCGTTGATGAGAAGTGCAGTGTTGTGTTGATTTTTTTTTTTTTGCTCTGACCTCTCCCATCCCCGATGCTTCTCCTCTTGTGTTTTTGTTTTTTTTTCTTTGCTTTGTTTCTTATAGTCGCAGGACCCCCGCATGTATGATCAGGTCTATAGGTACTTAGACCTTCCCGGGCAGGTATGTGACATCATCTAAGTGATTATTTGTGTTTTTGCTGTTTGTGTGTGTGTGTTTTTGTGCTATTTGTGCTACGCCGGCTTGTGTGTGCTTAAATGCGAGGCATGCTGGCATATGGGAGGCCATTCTTCATTTGCGCGGCTTGTGAAAATGGCGTTCATTTACTCAAATGCGCCTAGGGGGAGGCCTTCATCTAAATCTTTTCTAAATCACGCAGTGGTGCCTTGATGTCCCAGTGAACCGTTTTAAAAGTTTTTCAAAATACGAGCTGTCGTCCAGCTGATTTTTTTTTCTTTGACTTGCAAGCATAAACTTGAGATACGACTCACTTCACAACAAGCAGCATTTTGGCAGATGGTGAACGGTCGATGGGCCGAACCATTAACCCCCGTGGATTTATAATGGAACCATCTTACTGTTTGGATGCTATAACCAGGAAGTAGATTGCTAACTGCTGATGCTAACAAATAAACACAATATAAGTACCGGTAGTGTTTTTCGGATTTAAAAAGGTCTATTTTATGAGGGAAAATTGGTACAGTACCATGAGGATTTTTTTTTAATTTATTTTTTTATGGAAACCAACATGTGAAATAAGTGATCATTTTAGGGGGAAAGAGGAGCAATTTTTGAACCTATGTACAAATTGCAACATATATATCTCTTGAGGTCACTTTTTCATCTTGAAACAGCTTATATTTTCTTTTATTTTTACATTTTCAGCTTACCTTTCGTGGATTTACAAAAAGTGGACTCGTTAACAGTAAATAGTATGATAGTTTTTGACGGGAACCTAATTAATGTTGTGGATACTCGCTAACTTGCGATGCTAACAAACAAACACACAAAAAAAAAAAGCATCTCTCGCTAAGCCGCGTTTACTCCGGTGTGCTTAAAAAGCGTAATCCTCACATGAGCATGCTGCAACAGTCAAGTTGAACTGAAAAGACAACAAACGCTAACCTGCTCACCTCTCTCTCCCTGCGCCACTCCGTAAACCGAAGCTGAAGGGGATCGATCGCCCAGCCGAGCCCGACAAGGTGCCGCGGGCGCCCCATGACCGCAAGAAGGAGTGGCAGAAGCTGGCACTGGGCGCCGAGTTGGCGCAGGACATCGTCGACGACAAGCACGGCGAGGCCAACGGATCCGCCGGTTACCCTGACAACAGGTGTGTGGATATGTCAAGAATTCAACAGTTTTGTGCATCATGAGGAATTCATTGCTGCTTGGTTTGCGTTTTGGCCACCGGGCAGCAGTATAATACAATTGTGCAGACACAACTACAATAGGTGACTCATTTAAAAAAATAATGATTTTTGTCTACATGTTTTACTGCACAGTTAGTGTTCAAATATCCGTTGCTTCAGGCTTTATAACCCCGCCACGAAGATGCCATTCGTTAGCCTGTTCATGTCTATGTCATTTATTCTACTCATAAAACACCATTTGAAAAATACAATCAAAACACATCCAAATGTTTAGCCCTGAGTGAAACCATACCTTGTAAAAACATTTTGTCAACGTCAATTATTTTAACACAGATCTCAGAGTGCGTATGCGTACCTAATGAAGTATCTGGTATCCAGATGCTTCTTCACAGTTTTAAATTTCTTAATGGCACATCAAGGCTCCAAATCCTGTCAGGAAAGAGAATTAATGAAGAATATTTTATGAAAAATTGGTGAGTTCACGCTCCCTATCGGCGTGGAGGAATGAGCAAGCCAGCACATCGTATAAAAAGCCGACAGCGCGAGCGAGCCTGACAACCTGCGTTGGTCTCGCCAGGGCGCAGTTGTACATGGAACACTTGGACGGGCCCTTCTCACTGGCGGCGCTGCCTTACAGCCAGATGAACGAGTTGCTGAGCCGCAGCGGCGACAGGATATACTTGCGGCCCAACGACCCGCCACCGCCTCCACCGCCCGCCTTGCACCCGCTAGGGGAGATCAAGCCGCCCTCCGTCATCAGGTGAGAGCAGACGTTTCACGTTTTGCGGTATTTTCTGACAGTTTTAGGGCCACGCTGGGAATGATGTGATTTATGAAGAAAAAAAAACATTTTCCAAGAAAAGAATCTGGATAGAAATCTATTCTCAATGTTGCCCTTCTACTCGGTCGGGATATCATGAGCGATCGGATGGATGCCGGAACAACCCACTGTGCATTTCTAGCTGTTTTTGGTCTAATCTATCTGACAGTAGAACTTTAAGTGTCCATTTGAAGGACTACTTAGTGGGCAATCCGGAGGGGCAGCATTGATTGTGTGCTGGATGGACAGTTGGTGAAGTTTTGTACATCAAAGATGGAGGGAAACTGATCAATAAAATGCTGTTAGAGGCCGTTTTTTTTTTCTGCTGCAGACCTTTGCGGCATATGCCACATGCTTCAAGCAGAGTGACATCAGAGGGAATGATTAAATTTGCAGCTGCCGCACCACAAGGGTCCCTTTTTTTGATTTTATTCTCCCCAGCACCCCCCCAGCAATATTTTGTCTTTATTTCGGAAATATTGTTTGCACTTCAGTGCTCTTCACATACTTTTCTTCGATGTCCTGATATGATTAAAAAGGAAGATCTTTTCAGCAATTCTCTCAACTCCTTTGGTGTGATTTGCTATGGTATAATGGTGACGATTGTGAGATATGATATCCAGTTATGTTATGCTTTGGCATGCGCAATATGTTGTGTTATCGTACGTTATGGTCTGGTTTGATACACACCTCATGTTGGCTATGCTGGTAGTGCTTTCTTCAATGGAACAACGATCCAGAACGATGATCAGATCTGTTGCAAATCCTCTTCAGTCCGTTGGTGTGTCACCTGACACAAAAATGACATGCGATGACCGTGTGTTTATGTGACACTGATGAACCTGATGTTGTCTACCTGCTTGCAGTTCCGGTTCTGGCTTCTCAGACAGCAGACCTCAGTCTCCAGCACGGACAGCGGGCCTAAACTGCAATGCTCATCCACCCCCGCCTCCCCCTCTTCCTCCTCCACCTCCACCTCTCCCTTTCTCCGGCTTACGTGGCACACCTCCGCCGCCCGTTCCCCCACTACCGATGCATCAGCAACCTCCGGCGATCCCCCCTCCCCCGGCCCCTCTCCAGATTGCCCCAGGGGTGCTCCACCCGGCTCCTCCGCCGGTGGCGCCCCCTCTCCACTCGTCC